GGGCCTGGTGGAGATGTTACAGGGCCTGGTGGAAATGATACAGGGCCTGGTGGAGATGTTACAGGGCCTGGTGGAGATGTTACAGGGCCTGGTGGAGATGTTACAGGGCCTGGTGGAAATGATACAGGGCCTGGTGGAGATTTTACAGGGCCTGGTGGAGATGTGACAGGGCCTGATGGAGATGTTACAGGGCCTGGTGGAGATGTTACAGGGCCTGGTGGAGATGTTACAGGGCCTGGTGGAGATGTTACAGGGCCTTGCAGAGATGTTACAGGGCCTGGTGGGGATGTTACAGGGTCTGATGGGGATGTTACAGGGCCTGGTGGAGATGTTACAGGGCCTGGTGGAGATGTTACAGGGCCTGGTGGAGATGTTACAGGGTCTGATGGAGATGTTACATGGCCTGGTGGGGATGTTACAGGGCCTGGTGGGGATGTTACAGGGCCTGGTGGAGATGTTACAGGGCCTGGTGGAGATGTTACAGGGCCTGGTGGAGATGTTACAGGGTCTGATGGAGATGTTACAGGGCCTGGTGGGGATGTTACAGGGCCTGGTGGGGATGTTACAGGGCCTGGTGGAGATGTTACAGGGCCTGGTGGAGATGTTACAGGGCCTGGTGGGGGAGGGGCGTTGTGGTCTCAGTGGCAATCTTCTAACAGATACTGGACAGACATACATAAAGAAGTGGGTCTGTGTCGTAGCCCTTCTGTTGAGGGTTCAAGATTACAGGGTCCCAAGACCATTGGATAAAACCTTAAAGACCCAGGGGGAAGGTCGGGTAGCCTAGTGGTTAAAGCGTTCGCTCTTCAAGACGAAAACCTGGGTTCGATTCCCGACATGGGTACAATGTGTAAAGCCCCCCGCTGTGTACTCCACTGTGACATTGCTGGAATATTGCTAAAAGTGGTGTAAAACAATACTCACTCACTCACAGGACCCCCAATAATTTCGCTGATAGGACAATGACAAGGGCCTATAAACTGTTGAGTGGGAAAGTGTTTGGTTGGTCATTTTATGATGGTGACAGGCATGTCACTAATTACTACAGTATCATGTACCTCTATGTACTAATTACTACAGCATCATATACCTGTGTGTTACCAATAACTACAGGGTCACATACCACGTGCCATTAATTACTACAGGCTATGACTAAAACCACTAGTCTGAAGCCCAAGTGAGTGAGTGAGTGAGTGAGTGAGTGAGTGAGTGAGTGAGTGAGTGAGTGAGTATGGTTATAGCAATATTCCAGCAATATCACAGTGGGGGACACAAGAAATGGGCTTCACACATTGTACCCATGTCGGGAATTGAACCGGGGTCTTCAGCATGACGAGCAAACGCTTTAACCACTAGGCTCCCCAACTGCCCCTGAAGCCAGAGTCTAGTTAAATTCTTTCCAGTCCAGTAAGCTCAGGTAATAAGAGCCCTTACAATAACACTACCATCAACTGAAAAGGATACTTAGATCAATATTGCAGGTAGCAGTTTTGAGCACAGACTGTAACTACAGCATCGTGTGCATGTACACCCTCCGGAACACGTCGACAACATGCCTCATCTTGACTGTAAGCCTGTAGATCATGGGCCTGGGAAGACACCACAAATCTATGGCTTCCATCAATTATTTACGATATATCTAACTCGACACATCAAAGAGATCCTCATCAGTAATGAAGTTATGAGATGAAGGAGACAACGTACAACTAGCATCAAATTTTCAAACCTTTCCATTCCTCCACCAAGACTGAGAACTATCATACACATTGATGTAACTTCAAAAGATTATAGTAGATCTATCAAAGTATTCTACAGAGGCGTACCAATGATCTTTGATAGAAGTGTGTGTGAGTGTGGTCACAATTGTAGTCGCTAGGATTCCCCGTCTCCCTGAGCTCCACCCCCAACTGTTCTTCATCAACAAAAGGATGCACAGCAACCATCTGGGCCACTTGGAGTCCGTAAGTTTGGTCGAAGGCCACGTTAAGGACAGGGCCATTAGGCACACACGGCATGTTGTGGGAGGAAAGCCTGATGTGATGAGGGCTTAGACGTTCACCATGTTGTTTAACGCCGCACTCAGCAATATTCCAGAATGAATCATGGCTACAAGGGATTATTTTCTAACCACACAAGCAGGTATACCCCAAAGTCAGTCTGTCTGTCCAACTCAAGTCTTGAATGATTTGGTAAGCCTAAAATTAAGCATTGTTCTGAGTTCCATTTGAGATTTACTCTGATTGTGGGCGTGTATGTTTGAGTGAGATTACTTTATTTCTGGGACTAAATGTCAGCCTAACCCCCAAGGCTAACCTACAACTTATATAATTACATTGTTGTCAGCAATAATTATCCTAAACACTGGCTTTCCAAATTTTCTTGTTTGTTGTTTAACACTGTAGTCAGCAATGTTCCAGCTAAATGACAGCATCTTGTAAATACCTGAGCCTGGACCAGACGATCCGGTGATTGATATTGTGAGCAACAATCCATGCACGATGATACACAATCTAACAAGTCCCAAAGCCTGACAACCTGATTATTTACAGACTACTGCCATACCTGGAATATTGCTGAATGCTGCATTTAGTAACCGAATGGCATCCTCCTGAGGCAAGGGAGTTAACTGACAGTAAAAGTCCAGTTTTCACCCTTACCGAACTAGGCTGGAATTATGGATTTATATATGGCTGGACTAACAAGTCTATGCATAGTCCAATCAAAATCCCATATCAAAATCGACATCTGGTTCACAAACAACATGGCAACCACTGTGGCGATTCGGTCAATTGCAGGATTTGCAGAGCACATGTACCCTCAACTGGGCGTCAACAGATATTTTCCAAATCTTTTCAAGTTTATAATCAAGGTGCTCAAGTGATTTGATGCAATTCACAAGGTAAAACCTGTTTTATTACAATAAAGATCTTTATTATCGATGAAATTGTCTTGACTGGGCGCTGCCATTTTGTTTGAAGCAAGTTAGAGGTGGAATCTGATTAGTCAGTAGGGGGGACATAGAAGGGACATAACTCATGATAGCCACTGGTGGTGCTACAATCGAGCCCAGAAATTCCAGCCTAGTGGTAAGGGTGGAAACTGGACTTTTAACATCAGCAAACTCCCTTGCCTCGGGAAGATACCGATTGTAACAAAAAAATAAAAAAAATATTTTTTTATGTCCTTCTCTTATCGATGTGAATATTGACCCAACATACTTGTAATTTTAAAACCAGCATTTGTGAGTGAAAAATCACTTTCTGTCTATTTGTGTCATGACATCGGAACAGGGCCCGCTTGCACAAAGCGATCTTAGCGCTAAGATGATCGTAACTCCCATACTTTAACAAAGGCTTACAATAGTCGTAGCGCTAAGATCGCTTTGTGCAAGTGTGCCCTGGTCTCTGCACAAAATAGATGAAGTTGCAGGCTGGAGATGAGTAGTTTGACTTCCCATTGATTCTCAGATAACTCGATTTCACAGTCCAACAGGTCATATACAAGCAAGCTATGATGAGAACTATCACTTAAAGTAGATGGCATGTAAACAGATCGCTTATTTCCATTCAAACAGGTTTGTTGTTAGGTTGAGTGACATCAAGATCCATAATTCACGTCCTCAATGAAAGACCCCAGTTTTCGGATATAGCTGTGATATCATGTGATTTCTTTGTTCCCCGGATAAACTCCATGACAACATAACACTACACCATGCGAGAGTCTTGTAGACAGGGATAACGTGGGAGTGTTCTCAAAGATCAAAGAGTTGGAACGCAGGCTTGAAAATGGTGCTATTTTAGTTAGTGTTTTACATTGTGATGTTGTTGATTTGTAAAAGCAACATGAATGAGTGTAAACCACAATAGGATTTAGGGCTGGGACGGGTGATGAGGGTACCCAGGTCCGGTGGGTCCTGAGAAGGGGCCTGGGTACCCATGGGACTACCCGGACCCATGGTTAGTCACCTGATATTGTTTAATGAGAAAAATTTCCTAAAATTCCATGGTTACACAACACGACACTAATGTTCCCATGTCTTTGTGACTATGCACGCATTCCTTCTGACTTTCATATGTTTGAATAAAGATAGAGCTTCAGTCAACTTCAGTGTACGCATGACCAGATCATTTTGTATATATCTGTCTCAATACTTTTTGCCTGGCTCCGGAAATACTATTCCCAATCAGACATTTTCTACCCAACTCTTGAGACCTACAGTGGGTACCTGGGTAGGGTCGGGTAATAGGGGGTTGGGTACGCGGGTAGTAAATTTGGACTTGTCCCAGCCCTAATAGGATAGGTTGAAAATGGTGTGAAATGGGAAGCGATGATGTGAATTTGAAAGTTTTATGTCCTTCTTAGGTGACAGACCATTTCAAACAGCAGGCCCATCCATATCTGTGGAATAATCTACCTTTGAACATTCGCTCAATTCAGGAACTTGCAAACCTTTAAGAATAAACTGAAAACACATCTCTTTGAGCAGGCCTATGAATTATAGCGATTTGATCAATTTATCATGACATTACTCAGACTCAAAGCGCTTTTGAGCAGAAGTTTTATACTGGATAATAGCGCTATACAAATGTATGGTTATCCTCCACCACCAAGAAAAAGACACAATTTCAGGGTTAGAAACTAACAGTTTTTGTCCACTAGTCCTTATAATGATAACATATAGCAACACCCTTAAAATTGGCCATTTCTACTAGTCCTTAGGATACCTTTACTTTTGGGCAGTTTGGTAAGGACTACAGGACTAGTGCCAATTTCTAACGCTGATATTTGGGGAGGGTGATGAAAAAAATGCAGTTTATCAATAAAGATAAAGTGCTTTTGCATTTTGTTTTTTCAGGGAAGGTCATGAAAAAAATGTACACTGACATGGGGAGGGTCATCCAAAAATATGACAAACATTACGGGAGGGTCATGATTATCAGTACATCAGTGCATCCAAATACTATGAACCAGGTTCCACTAGAGCCAGTCAAGATAATCACCTGTAGTGGAGTCTGACTTCCTCCTCTTGTTGACGATGTCCGCCAAGCGTGACAGCTTGCCCCCCATTGGTCTGCTGTCCAAAGCACTCCACTATCTGCTACCTGCTTGCATCCATTCACAACACAGCGACCCACGTTTCCAGTAATACACACTTCAAATCCCAATATCTTCCTGAATCAGTTCAACTTCACAGTTATTCTATCGTTCAGTATCCCAAACTCGGTTCACAGCCAAACTGAATTAATACAACTGTTCACAGTCACTGTAAAAATCAGGTATCCCAAACTCGGTTCACAGACAAACTGAATTAACACAACTGTTCACAGTCACTGCAAAAATCAGGTATCCCAAACTCGGTTCACGGACAAACTGAATTAATTCAACTGTACACAGTCATGATACAGGTCAATATCCTAAACTCAGTTCTCAACAAACTGAATTAATTCAACTTTTCACAGTCCCTATACACATGAGGTATCCAGAACTCAAATTGAATCAATTCAACTTTCCACATTAAGTCACATATCCAAAACTCAACCAAAAGTTATGCCACTCCAAAAATCATCACTCCAAGGTAAACTCCAGCATCCTGATCCGCATCTGAAGGCAATCATCCATCCAGGCAACGGAGAACACTGCCTCAAGTCTACCCATAAACACTGGCGATGATTAATACATGTATCTTGCCATGCTGAATCCTACTACGCTTCAGTACCCTTCCAGCTAGTGTGCCAAGCCTGCCTGCCTGTCTGTCTATGCAAGCCACACTTCCCCTGTACGATAGCTCACGATTCAGGATCAATTAATGATGGAATTCAGCCAGTGGTTTGTGAGATGGACACATTCTCTACATTATACCCGATGACCTGATAAAATAGCCCAAATTGCAATTCTTTAGGAAGGAATTTCTGAATATGTGAATTAACTAATTTGTTTAGCTTTTGAACTGACAGGCTGCTTGATTTTGGCTGAGGTAACATACACAATCAATACGTGGTGTTGAAGGCAGAGGTGCCAGGTTGTGGCGCGAATCTCTCAACCTGTGAAGCACAGCAATGCTGTTTTTTTATTAACTGTTTAGGTATTAGATGTGTGAGCGATGAGAGCCTCGTTACTGTGGTTTGATACCTTGATCACCGACACAGGCAAATGAGCTGCAACTATCACATGGCACTTCTCAGTAACGACAGCATTACTCAGTTCCCCGTCTCAACCTACTTGGTTTCTTTGTTTCTTTGTGTGTTGACTGACCGCCTCTGTGGTCCAGTGGAAGAGCCTCTGTCCCAGAAGGTCTGGGGTTCGATTCCCGGCCATGTCATAACAAGATGTTAAAAGATGGTTCTTGTTGTTACCCTGTCTGGCGATTGGCATTAAAGGGCTAAAACAAGGACTGGTCGGCTCCGAGTCAGTATACTGTGTCTTAGTGGGGTATTCATGTTAAACTGCGGAATGGTATCTCAGTGAGCTAGCACTATAAACTCAGCATTTGTCCGGAGTAGTACAAGCAGACGCACACGCACACACACACATATACACACATGTATGCATGTCGCTATATAAGTGCAATAATCTTGGACGCGACGCTAAACCTCATTTCACTTCACTTAACTTGCGTGTTGCTTAATGCCATACTCGGCAATACACCCTTCAAATTGTGCTGAGGAAAAGTAAGAATCCAGTGATGGTTGTCCTTATTGACAAGTAGCATGTGGGGGCTATTATTCTGAACCAGTTCTCAATGCTTCAAGATTGCAATAAACTGGAACTGAATAAAACGTACAGAATATGTAAACATAGGGAACATGTTTGTCTCTTCAAGCAGAATTATCTACAAACTCAGAGATGTAGTGATGCAAAGTTTCCACTAGCCTTCTGAACTTGTCTTGAAAAAAAAATGTCCAGGCAATATTCCACCAAGATGTTGAAAGAATGTAAATAAGCTCTCTCTCTTTTGTTTGATACTGTAGGCTCAGTTTAATTTATTAAGTTCAAGATATATGATTGTGATGTTGAAATGAAATATACTGCTCAAAAGAAGTGAAGGTGCACCCTTTTCTTTCATATTACAATTCTCTCTCTCTCTCTCTCTCTCTCTCTCTCCTTTTGGGCTGTATTTAGGTTACAATTCAATTAAACAAAGTTCATTACAGCACAGAGGCAAGGTTTAATGGTGTGGCTGGCCCAGCAAGCCCCACCCCATGTAGTACGGTGTTATATCCACCGGCCCTGATACCAACACTGTCATCAATAACTGATGACCCACTATTGTCAATAGCCACTGGCCCACAAATGTGGCAGAGAACATCACTCAAACATCACTCCCACTGCAATTAGTTGTTGGGATAGCTTCTTCTGGCATCACTAGTTGTCAAGGAACTATTATCTACAATAAATGACTGCTAGTGAATGTCATGGCTTTAATTACGTTGACTCCACAACATTGATAGAGTATTGAAAGTGGAATGAGATGATTCAGAATTTGGGAGAAATGATTAGCTTAAACCTTTCAGAGGGTGATGATAAAGATCGATTTTTGGATAATCGGGTGAAGCGCTCTGTTCATTCCTAATGCCATATTTTCTTTGTTTTCCCAAGTGCTTCGCCTCACCACTTTTGCATGTCTCACATTGCAAACATTGACTGACAATCTTCAAACATTTCCTTCACGGTCTGTGAACTTCAATGCAACCGCTTTAAATGTTAAATACACACTTGGTTACCTGTGTGGGAACTCTCACAAAGCAGTCGATGAGTGAGTGAGTGAGTGAGTGAGTGAGTGAGAGTGAGTGAGTTAATGGGTGGGTGTTAGGGTGGACGCATGGATGGAAGAGTGAGTGAGTGAGTTAATGGGTGAGTGAGTTAATGGGTGGGTGTTAGGGTGGATGCATGGATGGAAGAGTGAGTGAGTGAGTGAGTGGGTGGGTGGCTGGGTGGGTTGATTGGTGGTTGAAAGGTTCCACAAAAGATAACATAACCAATTGTTTTACAATCTTCTCCATCAGAGGTAAATTCGTTCTCTTGAAACTCAAGTACTTTATGGAAGTGGTCAGCACACATTACCAGTGCATAGTTACAAGAAACATGTTTGTAAATTAAACACTGAATGTAACCTATAAAAAGCTAATAACACATTATCCGTGTCTGTCAAGATCCACCATAGATAGTTTGATCATGACAAAGTCAGATTAGTTTCACAAGCACTAGTTCATTTTCCGGCTGATCAGCAAAGAGCTCTGTTAACGACATCCAATGAACGGATCCAATGACACACTTACATAGACAAAGAGAGTTTTTCCACAACCAGCTCATCCTCCAAACTGACGAACAACAGACATGCAATAGTTGTACAATTGTGCAACAAGGAACAAACGACTTGCTATGAGGTTATTGATTGTGGAGTGTAGTCTCATGGGGACTGTGCAGTATCTTCATTACCCTACACTGAACTGTGGCTGGTGAAGCCAGATGAGTCTTCCCTACCCATGCCCACTGGGACTGCTACAGTTCTCTGCGGCCTACATGGAGTACTACAGCTCCACCAAGTCAATAGGGACTACTACGGATCCAACCAACCCACTGGGAGTGCTACAGTTCTCTGTGGCCAACATGGAGTACTACAGCTCCACCAAGTCAATAGGGACTACTACGGATCCAACCAACCCTGCTAAAGTTCTCTGCGGCCTACATGGAGTACTACAGCTCCACCAAGTCAATAGGGACTACTACGGATCCAACCAACCCTGCTACAGTTCTTTGCGGCCAACATGGAGTACTACAGCTCCACCAAGTCAATAGGGACTACTACAGATCCAACCAACTCACTGGGACTGCTACAGTTCTTTGCGGCCTACATGGAGTACTACAGCTCCACCAAGTCAACAGAGACTACAACAGCTCCAAACAACCATCATGAAGCACTACAGCTCAGCCCAGGCCACAGGCAGCTCAACAAGGCCCACAGAAAGCACTGCAGCATTAAACAACAAACGAACAAACAAACAAACAAACACTACAGTTCAATAAGGCCTACAGGGAGCACTACATCTCTGATCACTTCAAAAGTTGGGATTGGGGTAGTGTGCACCCCTACCTACCCTTTTATTGAAGGCTAGTAAGTGCAAACTATCCTTGGCACACTGCCACTGTGAAACATGTACCTCTCTCTCTCACAAACACACACACACACACACACACACACACACACACACACACACACACACACACACACACACACACACACACACACACACACACACACACACAAAATAACTGTCCAACCAAACATTTTCCCCTTTTCAACAAATTAACCATCAGTCAACACTGAGGCCACAGCAACACCCACAGAGAACCCGACCACCATTGTCAAGGACGGAAGCTGGAACCTCCGGACCTGAATGTAATCATGTCTTTCAGAGTTGATAAAAAATGCAGAGGTTTTTCACAATCCTGCCAGGCCAAGAGAAACAACAATCTCCATACTAATGCCCCTCCCCCGGCCATGGTGGGAAAACATCCTCCTCAACCCACCGCTTCCTCGTCTCTGACTGGGTGTATCAAATATTCAAATTATCCCTGTAACCGTGAAAGATCAATACCATTTCTCTGTTCTGTGACAATGTATATTTTTGTTGCCAACATAAAGTGGTTCCCAGAGAGTAGAATGCAGTGTATTGGTAAATAGTATGTGGTATGACAATAAATAAGACATATTGATTGGCTCATTTTAACAGAATTACTCTCCACAGTGATGCTCGAGATTAATGTAATACAAATAGGATATTGTTCAATTCATCGAAGAAAAATATTTTGTTTGAACATATTGTTCCTTTGGTTTGAGATTCACAACCAAACCCCAGAAAGTCTGATCAAACGACTCGTTGCTGGGACATAGCTGTGGTAATGCAACGATTGTTTGAAAAAATTTAATTCCGATTTAATTTCTAATTTCCAACAATTTACACAGGCCGTTGCTGTAATTTGAAAAACTGATTACTGTATTCGATGCAATAAGCGCCCTGCTCTAATAAGCGCCAACGGCGATATTTGCTAATATATTGGCTAGTGTTCAATTCCAATTAGCACCCCTTCCGATTAATCAATGTACAACAAGACTTATTTATTCGTGTATAATACACACTCGTGTGTTATATTCACCCTTAATTATGGGCAATTAAATCCTGGAAAAACATATATGTTGTATATAAACATTTCAGGCTGTCAGCATAAACCACGAAATTTACGATCTTTCAACTCTGTTTGTTTTTCACCAAAATAATATAGAATATTTCTAATTTTGAGAGTGCCCTGGGCGCTTATTACGTCGAATATGGTACTGGTGTTTGAAACTAAGGGGATCCTGGTATCGGGGGGGGTTGTATCTGATGGTTTTGAATCAAGAAACCCCCAATTAAACCTTTTAAGTTTTAAGTTTGTGACAAGGGCCCTTTCACTTCCATGCTTAATATGAAATACTGATTAACATTGTATAAAATACTATTGTTGAGACCACAATGAATAAATTGATAGATTTTAATCCAAACTTTTCAATAATGCAAGACGGGAATACATTAATGTATTTTTAAAAAAGAAATTTACAAATTATTCAAGGCATTTGATGGATGTGACGGGATGTATGGCAGGGAGTTTGTCAGAGTTTTTGGCAGGGAATTTGCAAAGGAGTTTGTCAGGGAGTTTGGTATGGAGTTTGACAGGGAGTTTGTCAGGCAGTTTGCAAGGGTGCTTGGCAGGGAATTTGAACGAGTGTTTGGCAGGGAGTTTGCAGGGAGTTTGGCAGGGAGAATGGATGGG